ATATCCTATTTTAACACTGTACAGCAGGGATCTTATATAAGGAATTATGAAAAGAGTTGTGCTTATTTCACTTTTCTTCAACATATTGCTCTATATGTTAGTTAAATCTCATATATCGCATCCTTATTTTAAGAAGATTCTAGCACAGAGAAGTAATTTAGCTAAACTCAATACCAGCCATTTTCCTTGCACAAGCCAAGACAAAATATTAAACTGTAGAATCCTTAGTTCATTTTTATTGAAACAAAATATTAAGGCTGAAACATCAGTTCCCTAATTCAGAAGCATTAAAATTATTAATCACCCAACAGTATGCACATGCATATCTGTTAACTGCCCTGTGGAAACTGCTGTTGAGTAGACTAGAGGGTAGAACAGGTGTCAAACTGCCAGATGCATCATGCCGAAACCACGCCCACCCCATTGACGGCAATGGAAAAAAGTCACGATATGTCGTGACACGTCACGTGACATTGCGAGTTTGACACCCTGGTGTAGAATAACTGGAAATGATAAATCACTGCACTGCAAAATAATAATACCCCAGCAAATGCAGATAAGAGCTGATTTACTCTACCCAATAAGTCCATGTAAACAAAAAAGCTCACCTCAAGTCACTTACCCTTTGCTCTTGTTCTTTCATTTCCTTCTCCAGTAGTTCTGACATATAGCTCACAGCAAGGATCACATGATTAACACCTGCCTGCCAGGAAAAGGTTAGCATTCAACATGATTTGAAGGCATGGGCTTGATTCAAGGGATTGTTTAAGATAATTGTCAGAATTATAATATCCCCAAATAATTACTCCTTATTAGTGATTAGAAATGCCAAATCGTGGCTCATGATACAGAAATCTGAAACTGTTGGGATCCTCATTGGAAAGTTATTCTAACGTTCTGGAAGTGACTTTGATCAGAGTCAGAGTTTCCTGTCCTAAGAAAACTGACTTAACTAAAATGCCACATGTTTAGACAACAACTAACAAGTTAGATTATTGCTTATTGTCATGTTGTGTGTGCAGATGCCCTTGCTTTCAAAAATTATTGGTGCAGAAAGCCACAACTAAAACTCTTGTGGAAGCTAGACGCTTTAGATACAAACTTATTCTGCATCAATTACATTAGCCAAAGTATAACTGGGCCCAATATAACAATATTTCTGCAACAAGTCGAAGTGCTTCTTTAGCTTCTAAAACATCAATTATTTAAGACCATGCTATCTACCTATATCCATATGATTCTATTGCATCATTACAATCAATATTGGGTTTTACTGTCTGGCCTTAAAATAAGGATGATTAGATTGATGTGAATTAAGACACCGCTTTTTACATACTGGTACTACATTTCAAGAATATATTTTTCAGGAAGTATAATTTGGCATAAGAAAAAAAATCAAAAATTCTAAAAGCACACTTATTCCAACCAGCGTTTAATAAATAAATATACTGCAAGATGTGAAATGGATTTAAAAGTACTGTATAAACAAATATTAAATGTCATCTAAGAAAAAAAAACAGTTTTGGTTAATGATTAAGGAATCAGGATAGAAACCAGGGGACCGCGAGTTCTAATCCCAGCTTGGGCCAGTCTCTCAGCCTCGGGAAGGAGGCAGTGGCACAGCGCTTCTGGAAAACCTTTGCCAAGAAAACTGCAGGGGCTTTTCTAGGCAAATGGACACGGTTGAACAGGAGGAAAACAAATCATCTATTCTAGGTGGTCATAAAAGGCCATGGCTATGAAAATAATCTTACCATGAATGCCTTTCGTAAGCAACAGGCAGAAACAAATAGTGTGATAGTTGGAAATTCAACTTTGCTTTCTGAAGCAGACAAAATCTATGACTTCAAGTCCAGATTTAGTCTGATTTTCACATTCATCCCTTTTCTATCAGACATCTTGATTTCTCTCTCTGGCAAGACAGATCCATTTAAGTCCAATGGAATTTCTGTTTTACTGTTGTAAGCCACCCAGAGTAGCCCCATAGCAAGATGAGCAGCAAATACATTTCACAAATAAATGCAAAAATAAAAAAGGGGGAGCTCCAAAGAAAACTCTGCGCTGTATCTTCTCAAAGGCAAGCAGGACAACCCCAGCATTTCTCTTAAAATAGCGTTCCGTTAAAAAAAACTCTTGCGTCAGGCAGCAATACAACAGGTAGAGGTTTCCCACACAAATGCAACAAGGACAAAAGCTTTGCTTTTTGACTTTCAGCTCGTCGGGCAGCCTTTTGAACATGCATCTTTCTCAGGAAAAGCAACTCACTCGTCCCGTACAGAGGCATCTAGGATGGGGTCTAACCCCCCCCCCCCACCCTACCTTTACTAAGGCTTCCACCTGGTGCAACAGGATGGGCTTGTTGCAGAATTCGACCAGCGGCTTCGGGATGCTGAGGGTCAGGGGTCGCAGCCGAGTGCCGTAGCCCCCCACCAGGATCAGCGCCTTCATCTTGACCTGAGCGGAAAGAAGGAAAATTCAGCTTTGCGGAGCCCACTCCCCCCCCCACCACCCCGATCCGCTCTCGGCTACACTAAACCTGNCTTTCATTTCCTTCTCCAGTAGTTCTGACATATAGCTCACAGCAAGGATCACATGATTAACACCTGCCTGCCAGGAAAAGGTTAGCATTCAACATGATTTGAAGGCATGGGCTTGATTCAAGGGATTGTTTAAGATAATTGTCAGAATTATAATATCCCCAAATAATTACTCCTTATTAGTGATTAGAAATGCCAAATCTTGGCTCATGATACAGAAATCTGAAACTGTTGGGATCCTCATTGGAAAGTTATTCTAACGTTCTGGAAGTGACTTTGATCAGAGTCAGAGTTTCCTGTCCTAAGAAAACTGACTTAACTAAAATGCCACATGTTTAGACAACACCTAACAAGTTAGATTATTGCTTATTGTCATGTTGTATGTGCAGATGCCCTTGCTTTCAAAAGTTATTGGTGCAGAAAGCCACAACTAAAACTCTTGTGGAAGCTAGACGCTTTAGATACTAACTTATTCTGCATCAATTACATTAGCCACAGTATAACTGGGCCCAATATAACAATATTTCTGCAATCAAGTCAAAATGCTTCTTTAGCTTCTAAAACATAAATTATTTAAGACCATGCTATCTACCTATATCCATATGATTCTATTGCATCATTACAATCAATATTGGGTTTTATAGTCTGGCCTTAAAATAACGATGATTAAATTGATGTGAATTAAGACACCGCTTTTTACATACTGGTACTACATTTCAAGAATATATTTTTCAGGAAGTATAATTTGGCATAAGAAAAAAAATCAAAAATTCTAAAAGCACACTTATTCCAGCCAGCATTTAATAAATAAATATACTGCAAGATGTGAAATGGATTTAAAAGTACTGTATAAACAAATATTAAATGTCATCTAAGAAAAAAAAAACAGTTTTGGTTAATGATTAAGGAATCAGGATAGAAACCAGGGGACCGCGAGTTCTAATCCCAGCTTGGGCCAGTCTCTCAGCCTCGGGAAGGAGGCAGTGGCACAGCGCTTCTGGAAAACCTTTGCCAAGAAAACTGCAGGGGCTTTTCTAGGCAAATGGACACGGTTGAACAGGAGGAAAACAAATCATCTATTCTAGGTGGTCATAAAAGGCCATGGCTATGAAAATAATCTTACCATGAATGCCTTTCCTAAGCAACAGGCAGAAACAAATAGTGTGATAGTTGGAGATTCAACTTTGCTTTCTGAAGCAGACAAAATCTATGACTTCAAGTCCAGATTTAGTCTGATTTTCACATTCATCCCTTTTCTATCAGACATCTTGATTTCTCTCTCTGGCAAGACAGATCCATTTAAGTCCAATGGAATTTCTGTTTTACTGTTGTAAGCCACCCAGAGCAGCCCCACAGCAAGACGGGCAGCAAATACATTTCACAAATAAATAAATAAATGCAAAAATAAAAAAAGAGGGAGCTCCAAAGAAAACTCTGCGCTGTATCTTCTCAAAGGCAAGCAGGACAACCCCAGCATTTCTCTTAAAATAGCGTTCCGTTAAAAAAAACTCTTGCGTCAGGCAGCAATACAACAGGTAGAGGTTTCCCACACAAATGCAACAAGGACAAAAGCTTTGCTTTTTGACTTTCAGCTCGTCGGGCAGCCTTTTGAGCATGCATCTTTCTCAGGAAAAGCAACTCACTCGTCCCGTACAGAGGCATCTAGGATGGGGTCTAAACCCCCCCCCCTTACCCTACCTTTACTAAGGCTTCCACCTGGTGCAACAGGATGGGCTTGTTGCAGAATTCGACCAGCGGCTTCGGGATGCTGAGGGTCAGGGGTCGCAGCCGAGTGCCGTAGCCCCCCACCAGGATCAGCGCCTTCATCTTGACCTGGGCGGAAAGAAGGAAAATTCAGCTTTGCGGAGCCCACTCCCCCCACCCACCCCGACCCGCTCTCGGCTACACTAAACCTGCCTGCGCCCCCCCCCCTTCGCTCCAGCTCTCTCGCCCCGTCCCGTCCAGCCAAGCTCCGCCAGCAGCAGGCTTCCAGCGCCCAGGTCCCAGCCGCCGCCTCCCGCCCGAAGAGCAAGTCGCCGAGCAGCCTCCCCGGGTGCCACCTCGCGCCCTCACCCGCGGCTCCCGGTTCAGGCCAACTCAGAGACTCCTCCCCGCTGGCGGGAGCCAGAACGAACGTCCACGGCATTTCCCCCCCTCCGCTTCCCGTTCGAACCCTTTGACCAATCAGTGCGTCCGACGTGGCCGACCGCTCCTGCCCTCCAATGGCGGGCGAGAAGAAGCGCATTTGTCGGCCAATCGCAGAAGAAGCTACCGTGTTGCCGTAGCAATGCAGGCTCGGCTATAAGGAGGCCGTTTGAGTCAGATCAGCCGGCCTGGACACGTCGCTGGTTTCGCTTATAGTAGGGTGCAAGTCCCCGCCTTTCGGGACGGATTTCCTGTGCCTCCTTCGAACGGGTGTCGTACGTACGTCATCCGCGGTTCGAAATGCGATGCGAACCTTAGCAACGGGGGCTCCGCCTCCTGAAACCCTCTTGGCAGCGAAGGTAAGCGGGGGGGGGGGGCGCTGGAAGTGGCCTTGAGCAGGGCTTTTCAACCAGTGGTACAGGTACCACCTGTGGTACATTGGCACCTGGCAGGTGGTACGCGACCATCCTAGAAAAGTGTAGCGGGGAGGGGAATGATCTGAAGTGACGGCACACCGCACAAGCCTGAGCGAGAGATGGCTGGAGCTGCAGGGCTGTCAGGGCTCAGTGGAAGCGCCAGGATCAGCGCCAGGCTCCAGCTGGAGCTCGGCACTGATCCTGGTACTTCTGTTGAGCCTTGAAGAAGCACCGATCAGCTGGAAAGCAGCGCTGATCCTGGCGCTTCTGCTGAGCCCAGAAGAAACGCCGATCAGCTGGAATGTTGCAGCATCTCCAGGGTCTTGTGATTTACATTCAGATGCTTGGCAACTGATTCATATTTATGACGGTCACAGTGTCCCAGGGTCATGTGACCAAAACCTGCTGCAACCACCCAGCAGACGGGGGGAATAAAAACCAAACACCCCCCACCCCACCCCCGCTGCCAATCCTCAACAGAAATGCTCACAACAGTGAAAACCTCGGACAGGAGGAAGAGCGCCGCCGGGTGGGCAGACAGATGTCTTGCTCGGCTGTGGCTTGGGGGGCACTTTTTTCAGTGCCATTGTAACTTCGAACAGTCACTAAGCGAACTGTTGTAAGTCGAGGACTACCTGTACTTTTATCACTTTTTTCCTTTTGGGGGGGGTCATCAAGTTTTTGACACCTTGCTAGGCGACTGGTGGTACTCGGATATTGGCATATCCTAAAAGTGGTACAATGGGTGAAAAGGTTGAAAAGCCCTGGCCTTGAGCTTAGACGCCGGAAGCCCCTTCGCAGCCCGTCCTCGCCCGGCTTCAAGCGGGAAGGAGGCAGATGGAAAAGACAGGGTGGCAGAGCCGCGTTTGTAATCGGGCTGCCGGGAGCGGATGAGTTGTAGCGCGTTCCAAGTTGTGTGTGAAGCAACGGCATTGGGCGGACCCGTGTTCGCTCCCTTTCCCGGATGACGGCGCCCTGGCTTGCCCATTGGTCTCTCGGCCACTAGTGCAGGCAAAGGACGTTTGCCTTTGATGATAAGCTGTCCAAGACCCCCACCTGCCCTACTAACAACACGGAAGTCTGCAGGATCGGGGAGTGTTGCTATTGTTTAGTTTCCAGGGATAGGGAAATGGCTATGGAGATTCTCAGTCACCCAGGTCATAGTTGTCCCGAAGATGCTTTTTCACGAGGCAGCTGGACTTTCTTGTTTCTCTTTAAAGACGTTTCGCTTCTTATCCAAGAAGCTTCTTCAGCTCTGACTGGGTGGGGGAATGGTTTATACTCCTTGCAGACAGCTGGGCATTTGCATTCTTTCAGAGAATTGTTGAGGCGTAGATTTCTAGCTGTCAAGTTTATTTAAGCTTTTCATAAGTAGTAGCAGCATCAGATATGCCAGTGTTTCTCAACCTTGACAATTTTAAGGCATGTGGACTTCAACTCCCAGAATTCCACAGCCAGCATTGCTGGTTGTGGAATTCTGGGAGTTGAAGTCCACATGCCTTAAAATTGTCAAGGTTGAGAAACACTGTGTTAGAACAATTAACCAATGGAAAGGCTTGCTTTCAGAAGTTGTGAATGCTCAATCACTGGAGGCTTTTAAGAAGAGATTGGACAACCACTTGCCTGCCTAAGCAGGGGGTTGAACTAGAAGACCTCCAAGATCCCTTCCAACTCTGTTATTCTGTTCTGTTCTATCTGAAATAGCCACTTGGTGCCTTAACAAAATAGGATTCCCTGGCACAATGTCTTGTATTTTATGAAAAGCACTGGAAGGGTGTATAAATAAAAAAAAATTGTGGTAAACATTGATTCAGGGCTTTTTTTCTCATAGAACGCCCAGAATGGAGTTCTGGCACCTTTTTGGGATGGAACCTTGTAGGGTAGGCAAGGCGGGTTGTATGTTGTGTGTGAGTTCCGGCACCTGTTTTTTTTGTGTGTGTGTTTGTTTTGAAAAAAAAGCACTGCTTTGATTAATGGAAAACATATAACGTTTTTATGAAAGTTTTTGCATTTTCAAAAACTCTTCCTCATCCAGTAAGGGTGGAAAATGGAAGAAATCCCTTCAGCATAGAAAGCCTGTATGTAATATACTGAAATAATGATTGTGATTGTTGTATGCCACTTTATTGAAGCTGTTATTTTATTCCAGAATGGGGACCATGGCATTGGAGTTAGTCCCCTGCACCATTAAGAACCCAGTAGCACTGCAAGTGGGAGACATGAAGACCGAGATGGGCCGACCTGGTGTTCTGGTGATTGATGTTTCACTCCCACACTCACAGACCACAGATGTAAGTGTGAAAGAAAAGCAGATGTCAAGGATTCACAACAGATAAATTAGAAGTTGTAATTGATTTAAATCTCATAGCTAAGGTTATCTGTGAGCCAGAAGATTCCTGTTCCAAAATTTATATCTCTAATTTACTCAGTTGATTGTTCCAAATCAAAATTGTTTCCCTTTCCTTCTATAAGCAATACAGAACATTTATTTAAAGACTTATTGCTGAAGACATTCTGAGAAACAAAAAGTATTCATGAAAGTTTTTTCTGTATTCTTTTTACCTTATTAAATCTTGCTTGCTACGGATTCAATCAATGCTTTATTTTTATTTCAGTTACAGGCAGTTGCATTCAAAAATTACTATACTGCCTTTTTGACCCTTCGAGTACAGCGACGAAGTTCTGCAGATGATGGGAATGAAAGCCCTTCCAAATGGGTTACTTGTCTACGTAACTTTTGTTTGATGCCTAACCTACATACAGAGGAGGGTTCCCAAAACTACTTTTCTATTTCCAGGCATCAGGTCAGGATTTCAGTTTCTACTGGGGAAGTGGGGAATTTCATTTGCTTCAAAGGCATAGCGTAGGTCTGGAAGCAGGTAGTGAGGCAAGAATAATCTAATAATTAAATGCCCTAACAAGTATTCTGATTGGGAATGTGCCAGTTTCCACATGCAGAAAAGAAATAATTCTAATAAATATATTTAGGAAAAGTTTCACATCGTGAGGTGTAGCAATCCCTTATATCTCTTCTGCATAAGGAAAATAAGGAAACAGGGAGGTTTGGACTTGGGACATTTGACACCCCCAATTTGTCTTCCAAAATCTAATTATTCTAGCCAACAGCTGATCAATTTTATTTTTATTTTACTGCCTGAAGATGTAAAAAGAATGCCCAAATGTCAATATGGGGGAACTTGTTCTATATTGCCTTCCTTAACTCTCCATTTGTGCATTTTTATTTTCTCCTCAAATATCACCATTTTTACTTCTCAACATTCAGGATTTAAAATTAAGAAAGCTTGTCTGAGAGTATAACATGAGGAGTAGATTGTTTGCATAAAGAAACACTGAGAACTTCTTATTTCCCACCTTTATTGGGAAGGCATTTTCCCCACTATGACAATATCATTGATAAATAAGTTGAATAAGTACAGTGCTGGCATACATTGTTGTATCCCTCCTTTAAATGTCAGGATGTTTTCTGTTGAATGACTTACTAGGGTGAGTCTAACAGTAGCTACATTGTGTTTGCATCATCAGTGATAGTATCTAGCTACCTTCCCTTCTTTTGACTTGTTTTTCAGTTAGCTTTGGTTTTTCCAAACATCACGATCTTCTCCAGTGATTTTTGTTTATATATCATATATCCAAAATGTTTAAGCATTAGCTCTCTTATTGATGCTTCAAGTGAACAGTCTAGTTTTATTTAATCTTACAACAAAATTATACACTCTTTGTATAGCCCACATGTTTTTTTAACAGTTTTTTCCAGGATTACAATGTAAAAGCATTGAATTTTTTTCTTCATTCAGCCTTTCTGGTGGTCCAATTCTTACAATCACAAGTAGAAGAGTTATGGCCTTGACGGTGTATTTATTCTCAGTGTGGTGGTCTCTGCACTTTAATATTTTGTCTCAGTCTCTGATAATCTTTCTTTCAAGTAGGAGACACATCTTTACTTCATACAGTAGCTATAGCTGCTTTTTCTTCTTGTTTCTGTGCTTATGGCAGAATATGATTTCAGCTTCTGTGGGATGTGAGTCAAGTTTATTGAGTTTTCTTATTGCCTAAAATGAATGAGGAGGGCATTCTGGAACACAGCCAACACTCCTGTGCAGATAAGGTGCTGGAGGGTGGTGATGGGGAATGAGGTAGGTAGGATGTTCCATGGTGGCTATAGGCAGTGGCTGAGGAAAGAGAAGGCAATGGGAAGATGGGGAGTGGGCCAGTGGGATATGCCGTGCTGGCTGCTGCTAAGGAGACAGTGGGACACGGTTAACCCCACTACTGGTTTAGGGCTTTTTTTTCCCTTCCAAACTGTAGCTGATATAGAATGGTGTAGCAGAAGTTCCTGAATGTTATGATTTGTTCCTGGATCTAAGCAAAATGTTATTTTATTTAGATCCAAGCAAAATGTAGCAATGTTCCCCAATCTAGTAATTCCACAATAATAATATGTAGTAATACTGTAATTTAATTTCATTATCCAGTTTCTGTTAATTATGTAGGTATATGTGCTTCAGTAATGCTTTGTCTCCATTTTTTTTTTTTGCTAGATGCTTTGTGATGTGGATCAGGTGTCTGCCATGCGTTTCATCCTGCGCCAGCCTTCTCCAGTATGGTTGCATTTTGCAATTGAGGAGCTGCAACTTTTTTCTTTGTGTCAAAAGGTACATATTCAAAATTTTGTCAAAAATATGATTCTTTCTTTAGCAGTTGTTCCAATCCTCCAAGGATCTTGGCAGTGGCTTGGAAATATGTTTAAAAGGTGGAAAACTAAATATACTGCAGTATCCTATATCATTGGTCTATCTCAGGGGTCTTCAAACTTGGTCCTTTTATGACTGGTGGACTTCAACTCCCAAAATTCCTCAGCCAGCGTGCCTGGCTGAGGAATTCTGGGAGTTGAAGTCCACCAGTCATAAAAGGACCAAGTTTGAAGACCCCTGGTTTAGCTGGCTGAGGATACTCATAGTCCTGATTCACAACCTCTGGAGAGGTACCTATTCCCAACCATCCTTATTCAGGTGGTCCTTGCTCAGTCTGTCCTTTGCCTGACCCTTTCCCGCTGCTGCAATTGCATTGCCTTTGATGGGTAGAAGAGCAGCTTACTCTCTTGAAATCTCTCTCTAATCTCTCCACTCTGCAGTGAGGAAGAGGGTCAAGCAGAGACTGACTGCAGGAATTGCTAACCTTCCCCCAGTAGATTGGATCACAAGGAATTTCAAGGAAGTACTGTAAGCTGTTTGTGTAGCACTTGCATTTCCCAGCCCTAGGTTTCTGGTGTAATTGCATTGCTTTCAGTGTGTAGAAAAGCAAATGTACTTTCTTCCAATCCCTTTCTCTGTCTGCTCTGCAAGGGGGAGGGGCCCCACACACCAGGCAAAGGACAACGCATAGTGATTACGCAGACAAGTTATTTTTTTCAGCGCCATTATAACTTTAAATGGTCGCTGAATGAATGTTGGTAAGCAAGGACTACTTGTATTAAAGTGAATTTGTTTGCTTGTTTGTTAGCTAGTTACTTGCTTGTGTCATTTTGCACTATGATGTATTCCCTCTACCAGAAGTTGAACTTTGATTTAAGGGAGTTTTACTTTTATCCACATATCTCTGACATCCATGGAGCTAGTATGGTATTTACTTCTTTATCTGCCAGATTCATAGTACACTAATTATAACATTATTTATAATTAGTAATATTTAGGAAAGTAACTGCCTGTATTACTTAGTGTGCACAAGACCTAGTATTAATTTCAACATATGAACTAGGTGGAAATCTAAAATTGACCTTAAAGGTTTTTTCACATAAGGAAAAAATGTATTTTATAGCTCTTCCTTTTATCTGTAAAGTAATAATGTACTTGGAAACAGTTGAAATAAATACTTTTAAAGGTAAATCTTCCTAATCACTGGTTCTAGGAAAGTGAATGGTGAAGATGGAGTGTGTATGTTGCCTGATTTTGTTGTGTGTTTCTCTGGGACTGCCTCCTTCTCTTTACAGAATCCTCAGAAAGGCTTTCCAGCTTGGCTTTCTCATCCTTCTCCTCAGGAGCAGCCAACAAGCTTACATGATGTAAGTATTATTACTGAGATGTTTCTCAGTAAAGATATATAAGTTTAGTCTGGCTGCAGATTGTTAACAGCTCCTAGAGAGAAGAGACCTTCAGACCGAGCTGGTCTTGCAAGAGCAAAAGCAGCAGAGAACTGCATATTTGAATATAGTTATTCTTTGCTTTCAGGGACTTCCTGATGCCAACAGAGTGTCTTCCGAACTGCAGCAAATGTGGGTTTTAACTGAGATGCTCCAAGCCAGCCAACCAGTAGCACGGATTGGGCGCTTTGATGTTAGTTTCTCTGTTCTTCTGCTTCTTGTCTTAGAAATGTTCTTATTACTGAAAAATAGCCAGAACCTCTAAGCACTGCAAATGGGTAAAATACCTCCCTTTCCCTATCCATAGGCTCCTTTTAAGATGTTTACCCACAGATCCTCCGTGATAAAATCCTTGTATCAAAATTACTATAAAACTAGTACCGGCTAAAATGCACAGACTGATGATCATCCTGATTGGGGGTGGGGTGGGGGGGGGTTACACAGCTAGTATGCAATTTCTATTTATATTACATGTCCTTTTAAGGAACATAGACTGGTTTAGCATTGTTTTTCAGATTAATTTGACACAGATTAAGGCAAGAGATAATAACTGGTCGAAGTTCATCATCTTTTAGGCTGTTGATTTGAATTGGTGTAATCTTTGTGCCTGTGATCCTTCCAGTGTTAGGTGCAATTTTTAACAATTCTGTTCATGAAGCATGTTTGTTGGGGCTGATGAGACCAGCTAAGTACTGCTTGAGTCCAATTTCAGCTTTCTTCCCCCAGGCTACATTGTCTTATAGGGAGAGGGTAGGAAGAAGAGAGAACTAGATTTTTTTTGGGGGGGGGAAATAAGCATTCTTCAGTGTGCTCAACTTGTTGAATTGTTTCTTATGTGTATTTCAGATAGAGGACTCCTATGACCTTAATCTGCTTTCTTATACTTGAATGGTCCCAAAACAAGAAGAAGCAAGGCTTTCAAGCAGGGCTGCATCCTTACATTGTAGCCTAGCTTGAGCAGGAAGAAGGAAGATTAAGACTTGATTGCTTCCATGTTCCCGTCTCATGTTCCAATAACTATCCACTTAGATTCTGGTGGTAATTTGGTTTTCAAGCCTATATTTTGCACTGAACCCTGGAAAGTTAGATTACCTAAACTGAAACTGCCCAATTAGGCTTGTTTCTCTCCTGATCTGCTTTTCCAAGCCTTGCTGCATGATATAAGTTTCTTTTTAAGGCAAAATGAAATATATTCAAGAATCTGGTACTGGGAGCATGGAGGAAAGGAATCCTTCATTTTTATAAATAGTGACTTGCGATATTGTAAGAAGGACTCTGGATATAGGTGTCTAAGATTGAAAAAGGGCAATTCTAAAAAAATGCCAGGTACAGAGATCAATGTTGCTGTCTACCTCACTTATAATTACAGGGCATAGGTCTTTTAATATGTGTGTAGACTTCAAAAAGAAAATGTTGCACCATGCTAAAACCATGACATTAGTATTCTTGGAGGGATGGAGGTTGTAGAAAGCTAGGTTTTATCATACATTTTCTATCCCAATATGCTATTATTACGTTTTCTCATAGGTCCAATGAGTGTTGAACTTGGTTAAATGAAAGAGAAAGTTTGGTTCATTTTATCTCATGTCAAAAATCTTTAGATAGATTGTATCTGCAAAGCTCAGCTGAAAAATGCCTTTTGGAGATTGGTTTGACAATTACCAAGAGGGATATTTTTTGACAATTACCAAGAGGGATATTTGAGCACCTTCATTCAAGCCACTGAATGACTTACCTATTTACTGGAATAGCATCGTATGATTTCCACAGAAAAGGAAACAATCCTTCTTACAGTATGGACATAATTTGTAGTTGTCAGAAGGATCAAACTGTAGAACAGGGGTCTTCAAACTTGGCCCTTTTATGACTTGTGGACTTCAATTCCACGCTGGCTGAGGAATTCTGGGAGTCAAAGTCCACAAGTCATAAAAGGGCCAAGTTTGAAGACCCTTGCTGTAGAACAACATAAATTTCTGCAGTGGGATGTATGTGATTTTTTTAAAAAAAAAAAAAACTATTGCATTTTTGGAGTGTCTTTACAGCTGTTTTCTGTATATTATGCCCCTTGTATTATTTATTTATGTTATTATTTATAGTTAATTATTTATGTTAATTATTTATATTTGAAAAGGATTGTAATAGACTTCTAATGCACTCTATATATTTAAGGGATCACAAATAAATGAAAAGCTATGTACTATATAATGACACACTGTAAACACATGGGAAATACTTTTGATCCTAAAGACTGCAGGTAAATTTTTGTTCCTGATACATATGGAATACATGCCTTAATTTCTTTGCTTTGCTTTGCTTTTGAGTATAGTTTCTGGGGCAAAAAAGGGGAGCTTTGAGGCTGATTCTTTCCAGCCATCTGGCGGAGATAGCTCAGTTGCTAATGCCAATATTAGTAAGTAACCTGGCTTCAGTCTACCAAGGTTTGCTTTGTTTCCTGCTTTTGGGGCCATATATTTACTTCTGCTTATTGGCAGAAAGAGGAATAGGTTGTTCCGAGAGTAGAAATGGAAGGAAACATTGCTGCCATATTTTTATCTGAACAGTTTTTCCAAATACATAAGAGATGAAAAAGGAAGTAACAAAGAATGAGATGAAGTCTCAAATTATCTGCCCAATAAAAAAAGTAATAACAGATCTTTCGCCTACTGTACTCTTTACTTTAAATGATTACTTCTGAGTAATTTCACTTTTTCCCCAACTGTGATTCTTGCATTTATGTTGATGTCCTACTGAAAAATATGATTCTGAAATAATGCTTTTGCTTCTCTTTTCTTTTAAACATCATCACAGCAATAGAATAATTATTGAAGCAACAACTAGTAAATAATCAGAGACCTGTAAGCTCAATACTGTGGGCAGACTGATCTCCAGGGAGAATGTTCACTTTGCTAATTGTTGGTCTTTAAGGTGTCATTAGTAAGTCTATATCGTGTTCATTAATTTCATACTCGGTATAAAATTCTTAAACACCAAAAGCTGAAAATCTAGCCTATCTAACTTTTCAAGAAGATGCCAGTACTAAACATGACAGCAAATCCGTGCTTTTGTTCACCTGTATTTGAATGGATAATATCTGTTATCATTTTTGATTATCTTAAGATGTGTGCAGTTCTCAATTACGCGCCTGAGCTTAGTGGAGGTCTATTCTTCAGCATTTATTTTTATACGGGAGCCTTGCATCCTGTGGATGTTAATGGGTTCTATCTTCCATGACTGAGCTAATGATTGGGGACAATGGAAGTTTAAAGTCCAACTCAGTAGGTGTAGAAATTTCTCCCTCTTTGACTTATGTCTTGATTTCTCAGAGATTTTGAATGCTGAATCTCTATCGACATACTTTAAATTGTTTCTCAAATCCTTCAGCCAATATTCATGGATTAGTCTGATGAGTATGCATGGGTTCAGTCGAGGGCTAATGTAGTTGGTTTGGTTTTGTATTTTCATTTCAGGTTAGCATGTTGTGTGAGCCCAGACATGTTGATTTGTACACTAATTAATGGTTAGGATATACAAGAATAAACCTATGGTTTTCTCTGAGTCTCTGGTTAGACTCATACAACATACTGTCATAAATCTCAGTTTACAAATCACAAATGCTAGATAGTCACAAAACCAACACTAAAAAAAGCCTACATCATGGCAATGTTTGATTAGCTAAATGGTATGTGAATCCAGATAATTCTGGATTATTCAAGAAACCATGAGCTATGTGAACCAGTTGTATAAATAAGGATGAATGCCTTGCAGCCAAACATCTTGAAAGGAGCTTGGCCATTCTGAGGGTTCTTCTGTGGAATAAGATTTAAGATTCTGGGCATCTATCTTGCCATTTCCATTACTGTATGAAGCAGGCAGAAGAGCACAGTTACCAAGAATCTCTCCAAATGGAATGAATGGATAATCAGAATGATAAATGCAGTGTGGTGTATATATGACAACCATCCATTAGGTAGTTTTAAAGAGTGATTGAGAAAGGCAGCTTTCATAGGTGTTTGTGGCAGGTGTCAAAATCTGAAAGATAGAAGATGCAGCCCTGCAGTCAACACTGTTGCAAATAAAAGTGGGCAGGACTTCAGTCACAACCCCACACCCTGCAACTTGCAGATTCTGACACCTGTAGAAACTTGGCTATATCTCTCTTCTCATCCTTATGGTGGTTCAGCTTATCACCAGTCTATGAGCAAGATGAGCTTACTTTCCAAAAGCATAGGGGGGGGGGGGGTTTCCTGGAAAACTTGTCTTGTTTGGAGGGTGGGGGGGAGAGATTTTAAATGGCCTTAATTTCTTTTCTTTATGAATTGGTTCCTTTTTGCCTGTTACTAGTGATATAACCTTGTGTCCTAAAAGTTTTTGCCTGCCACAGACATAATCAATTGGTGCAGCACCTTTGCGATCATGACAAATTTACTGTTAACCATCAATCAATAACCCTAACCCATTTAGTGGGTGGGGGGAAATATGAGACAGCTGAAATACAGTAAGTAGATGTAATCAAAGGAAATGATGCAGTTCATGCAAATGGGAGAGGGAAAGAAATTGTCCAGTGCTGTCCTTACTGGAACATAAGATGCTGAATTAGGCTGAAGGTCCAGCTAATCCAGCATTGTGTCACCCTGTGGCCAACCAGATGCATACAGGAAACTTGGGTCAGGTGTTACTGCCTGACAGTTGGTGATAACCTAAGACAGTAAACTAAAAGGGCATCAAGACTAGTAGCACCAATAGCCTGACTTAAAGAGTTATCTGTCCATCCCTGAATCTCCTGAAAACTATAGCAGCATGAAATGTACTGTCTCCATTGCAGATACTGGAAATGAACTCTTAGTCTATGATGGGGAAAAAAAATCTGCTAATGCCTTTTCCAAGTAACACTTTTTATTAAAAGGTATAAGCTTTCAGGATGCCTTTTAAACAAAGTTTGTTAGTGGGAAAAGGTGCTTCCAGACTTCTGTGGGTTTTGTGTGTGTGTGTGTGTGTGTGTGTGTTTTGCAATCACTGATAATCTGTTTCAATTCACTGCCTCTCAGCTATCTTTCCTAGTCTAAGGTGACTGTGTCAAAGACTAACAGATTTTACATACTTTGAGGATGTCCCTGGGCGGTGTCACGAGAACAGGATCTGAAATTGACTGGAAAATATCATTTTAAAGAAGCAAAATAAGATTATGGAAGGCCAGATGTTGTGACCACAAGATCGTCAGACAGTGCGGGCTCTCTCGCCCTGCTTTATTACGCCACGCCTTCTAAACAGAGAGGAGAAATGCTGAACAAACTGAGCTGTGTATAGCTCTATACAGCAGCAACTTCTCCTTTTCACAGCTGGCCTGGTCGATCGGCTTTGGGTGGGGCGGGCCATTCCTGGGAGCATTCGCCAGGAATGCGATCGACTACATTTCCCAGGCTCCTTCCGGGCTTCCAGAGGTGGGAGGGTCCGTAAATAAGATTGAGGGCAGCCGAAGGGGGGGGGGTGTTCGCTGGCAGGGAGAAATGCTGCGGGCTGGGGCTGCTGGAAGGCTGTCGCTCCGGCGCTTGGGCTCCTTCGGGGTCATTGCAAGCGGGAAGCGGAGCTATTCTTCTGGGCAGGTGAGCTGGTGGGCGGCAGCTGTGCGCGTTTAGAAACAAGTTGGGCTGCCTGTTTGTGGGCGAGCAGGCAAAAACTTAGAACCGCCCGGTGCGAAACGGAGCTTCATCCCACACCGCCAGAAGGCTGCGGGGCACTTGTGCTTTCAAAGGGAGGGAGGGGGGACAAAGGCAGGCGAGGGAAAAGTAGCGCACGTCTGTATGCGTTCATACGGACAACTGAGTTTAGCGAGGGTTCGGGCCTCCAATCTCACTTCAACAGGTCGGGTCAAGCAAAACGTTTGAATTAACACAGTGCACGAGAGAGCGCCAGAGCACGTGCAGAATTTATTTCAGGCTGATGAATTGTATCCTGCCAGACAGTTTTTGAGGAGAGAGAGAAGGATACGGTACCTCTTTTCCAGCTTTTTTCTTAGTGAGAAGTGATTTTGTGGGAGTCTCTTGAGAGATTCCTCGAATACACTGAGTTTCCTGGAGACAATTAATTCAAAGAGTTGTGCTTTTCCGAATAAGGAGAGAAAGTAACAAAAACCCCTGAAACTCCTCATCCACCTGTGCTCCATT